GCAGTATTCTCACTGCAGCAGCGCAAACCCAAGAATACCACATTCACCCCCAGACCACAGACCACCCCATTAGGTACCAGTCAGCAATCTGGGACTTCCTACCAACATGGTGGTGCCTGATTAACCTCACTTGCCCTCCCCAAAGTTATACAGCTTTTGGCATCTTTCAGAGAGCTCAGGTTAGGGACACGCAGTAGGAGCCAGCTTGGCTAAATAGACAGAAGTGAGGAGAAGACTCTGGGGAGAACTTACTGCAGCCTTTCAGTACTTAAAAGGGAACTAGAGGAAGAGGGAGAAAGACTTTTTAGCAGGGCCTGTTGTGACAGAATGAAGGGTGATGGTTTTAAACTAAAAGAGGGAGATTCAGGCCGGCTGTGAGGAGGAAACTGTTTACAGTGAAGGTGGCAAGACACTGGCCCAGGTTGCCCAGAGAGGTGGTGGATGCGTCATCCCTGGAGATATTCAAGTCCAGGTTGGATGTGGCTCTGGGAAACCTGATCTGGTTGAAGGTGATCCTGCTCATTGCAGGGGGTTGGAACTAGATGAGCTTTGAAGGTCCCCTCCAACCCAGACAGTTCTACAATCCTGCCTTGAGCTGACAAGTAGGAAAAGCCAGGCACAGGAGCAGCTCTTACAAAAGAGAGCTTTCTGCTACACACTGCTCCCTTCCAGTGACTGGAAGGCAGGAGGTGACAGTGCTGTGTCCCTGGTTCTGCCACCACCAAGCAGGAGCGAGAGGAAGAGGGCAGCTCCTAAAATTACCTTTGGCATGTGCAGAGGGAATGGGCTGGAAGCTCTGGATTTCTGCATGCACCATCCTCTTCAGAAGCAGGTTAGATGCAGCTCCAGTGTACGTGGCTCCTTTTGCCAGCTGCCTCAGAGGGCTGTTCAATTACACTAAACTGATTTATTTTTTTCATATCACTAGCCAGTATTTAAAATGTTCAGGTACATATCTGCTTAGCTCCCAGTTCTGGAGTTACACATTATATACAGCATAAGGTCACCACAGACACATTTTGCCTGAAAGAAAAAAATTTGCTACAAATTATTTTTAATGCTTCAGCAGCTTTTTAGATTTCCCTTTCATAGCTGAAACAGAGACATCTCCAGACTCCTGCTAGGAAAAAAGTTCAGTGTGAAAGTCACTGCCTGCCACCTCCAGCTGCTGAGTGCTGGACCTGTGACCCTGCCACCTCAGACACTTGTATCTGAGCCACACGGCTGATACTGGGATTCTCTGCTGAGTGATTTCTGAACAATTTCAGCCTTTTTCTGTCTGGTTTATGCTAACATCTACAGCCTGCAGTGGGATCACAGGCACTGCATTTCCAAGCAGCTCCTGAGGTCAGCATTGACCCACAAAGGAAGAGACTTTATGCTGCTTCTGGCTGGGATTTCTAAAGCCAGACTATGAAACTGGCTCTTCAAATGGAGAAATGAAAATACACCACTTCCCTGCCCTTCCTGCTTGATCAGATCCAAACACTTGTGTCAGCTTCTGGATTCCTGGCTTTAAATCTCCATTTCCCATTTAGTCCACCTGGATGCAGTGAAAGGGAATCAGTGAGGAGCTTGCTTTATTAATGCATTTGCACTTTAGAGAATGGTTTAATCCAGAGGCTGTATGTTATGGCCTGACTCTCCTGCTGTTAATCTGATTATAAAGGTAAAGACTAAGCAGTGGCCTACAGGCCAAATAGAGGGTCTTGTGTAGCCAGGCAAAACTAAGCCTCTGCCCCTCTTCCTCCATGTACCCTCTTGCTCTCGGCTAGTGGGTGATCTTGCCCTTGGGCAGTGATGGCCCTGGAGATGAGGAACACACATGGATGCTGCTCCTCCTGTAGCCAGATTCTGTCTCCTCACTGACTACTTCTTTTTTGCCTGCCCTCTTGCAACATGTAAAGGATTTGTGACTTAGCACTTTTACATCTTTTCTGGAGCTCCAGACCGACCTTCTGGGTTGTGCACGGTGGTAATGTGTCATATGCTCCTACCTCCCTGTGCTGAAGGATACAAAACGGGGACGTACCTGCTGCCCTCAGGCCGTGAACCTTGAGACAAGCACAGCTGCAAGAAAACCTGTTCACCTGCACCAAGGAGCACATATAAAGTGAAAACCTACACGCAGACTGTTTTGTTCTTAACTTGGGGACAGGTTCTTACCAGGAAAGAGGTCAGCAAGACCTGGAACATATGTTTTTTGTGATTTATTTTGATGTATTAGCTCATATTTCCTACACTGATCTCACTTTGACAAAAGCTAAGTGGGTTAATCTGGACTTTTCTGGTCATTTGCTTCTATTAGACTGGAGGTATAATTATGGGCAGAAATAAAATGAGAACAATGAGAGAGGATATAGTTATTTTACCTCAATAACAAAAGCACAAATAATGTCATTCACATTAGTAAGTAGAGGAGGGGCTTTTTTTGCTCTGAATCATGTCAAGGTGCCACCTGGAAGGGATACAGAGGCAGATGCATCTCCCATGAAGTCAGGGTAGGGGAAGCTGTAATAGATAAGTGGTCATTGAGGAAATCCTGTCCTTCCCTGCTGCTGAACCAGGCTGAGCAGCTGCAGCCCTGGGTCCCCTACCCTAGCTCTCTTCTCTTGGGGGCTTAAGTGATGAGTAGGGGAAAATCCCCCACTAAAAGATTTGCATTGGAAACCCATGGCTGAGGAATGACTTTTAAAATAGAAAAGCTTTGCTTGAAAAGGGATGAACCATGTAGCATAATACTCAACAAATCGCTTGTGTAATGGCCTCTCTTTAGAGCAGCTGTGCATTAATAACAAAAGTGGGGGAGCAGAAGCCATGTGCTTCTTCGTAAGATTAAAATAAATACTGTTTCATACTAATAACAGCAACTTTCTGTGGAGGTTGACTAAGAGAAAGGAGCAAGTGGAAGACCACAGACGACAAGATTTGGTTTCTTTCCCCTTTATCTACTACTACATGAAGGAATACTACCCCCATCTATGAAAGAAGATACTCTGAATTTGCCCTCCCAGACTGTTGTTTGGTTTATAATGTTTTGTTGCAGGCTTATCTGTACAAAGTCAGCATGACACCATTATAAGACAGGAGTAATTTCTCTAGGACTTTGTATCTTAGAGAAACTATGTTGGGGAGAACTTGATTTAATTTGCTTTATACTTTGCAAAGCGTAACTCAGGATCTCTACTGCCAAAAGCATAAACTGAAACAAAAAGGTTCACACTAGACATAAGGAGAAACCTTTTCATCAAGAGGACAGCAAAGCAGTGGTCCAGGCTGCTAAAGAGGCTGTGCAGTCCCCAAAATCAGAGGATTTCCAACCTGATAGGATAAAGCCCTGAGCAAGGTTTGACCTCAGAGCTGACCTTGCTTCAGCAGGTGGATGGGTGAGACACATCCCAAGCTCCTTTCCATCCTGAGTTATCGTATGATCCCAGGAACACTTGGGACGTTGCCCACAGCAGTATCAACGGACACGACGTTTTGCGTAGCTTAGGACTCCACCGCTTATTCCTGGCAGACCTGTTAATAGGTCTCCCCCTCCATGCCCTGTACTTTGCCAGCCCTGGCACTAAAGCAGTGCTGAGCTTCTCTGCTCAAACTAGGACTTCAGCTATTTAAGAAAAAAGAAATTTTACATATTAAAGCTGTCTGCCACAGACGGTTTATCAGACATGATGAATGATTTGTTTCTGTTTTCCTGGGCATAGGTTTTTAGCTGAGACAAGATACTTTGCCTTGCTGAGAGCTGAGTCACCGAGTAATCAACAGATTAATGTATTCTGTTCGAAAGCCATCCCCATTAGTTCTCGGCAAGCTCACAAGAACTCCATTATGGTATCACCTCTACATTTGAGATGGAAATGTCTCCAGGATTTGGAGTTCCTGTGGGAAAAATCGCTACACGCAAAGAAATCAAAATACCCCTTTGCAACTGAGAGAAACAACGTACCTCCTCATACAGTAACACCACAGCAGGATTCTGGTGCTCTTTCTAGTGAATGCTTTTATTATCAACCCTTAGATAAGGAGTTTGGGGTATGCCATACATCTGTCATTTGACAGCTACCTAAAAATAGTCATGACTAACTCAGTGGTGTATAGGACTTTGCCTTTACCAGGTCTTTAATATGAAATTATTTTAATTCCAGTGAAACCAAGTAGTTTTACTTTCTCTGGGATGGCAGCATGCAAAACGGGTGGCCTTGACTTCTCTAGAGCTCTGACTTTCTCTGTGTGGGCTTGGCCTGAGCCAGAAATGCGAAAAGGAAAGGCAGAGGCTGGTAGGGGCACCTCACAGAAGAGCCACTGTTTAAAAATAGGATGCTGGTTAAAGGAACAACAGAGTGGCAACTGTAAAAGGACAGACTCGCCTAGGTGTGTGGCATGAGGAGGCTGCCAGACATAACGGTTATTCTGATAAGATACATGCTAATGCTGCTGCCTGCTGTCCATACAAACCTCACTGAAGTTAATACATCCCCTTGTTCGCAAGTGAAATTGCTGTTGAGGGTATGTAAGAGCCAGTCCAGCCCTCACAGAAGACAAGTTAATCCTAAAAGCTTCCCTGCATGGGCAGGCTGGTGGAGGGAATTTGAACAGCAGCAAGACTTCTCCCGAGACACCTCTCCTTGCAGCCTGTGGATCTAGCACATTCTTCCTGTTTCCCCACATCTGTCAGTACCCCTTTCTAGGCTGTCCCTAGGTAACAGAATTGTTATGTACTGGCCTGGCTAGTGCCAGGGAACGAGAGATTGTGGCTGTTGTGACATTCACGTCCCCGAGGCTACACTTCCTGGGATAAGCGTACAAATGGCATGTCATATGTAATTGTTCCTGTGCCTCGGTTGGTTGCAATAGGCATACAACAGTGATGTAGATCTTCCCCCCTCTCTCCTCTTCTCTCCAGGTATTCAGATTGTGCAAATGCTTCCCGTTTGTGCTCTGAAGCCTCCAGGTGCTCAGCTCTCTGTACCCAAGCAGTGGTGATTTTAACTTACCCGTCGCTCCTTATCACCATATTCGATGCCCAAGGTATCCATGGCACGTACAATCGCTGCCAGTGACTGTATAGTGTTGCTGTAGACCACTGGCTTATACTGCTTCACGTCTTCTCCAGAGAAGCCATCCTCATGGATGATCCTGAAGAAAATGCAAAGGACAAAAACCTCTTGAGAATGTAATTTCAATGGGGGAGGCATTTCAAAGAGAGCTCTTTTGAAGAGCACATCTGCCAGCTCGATTCACTTAATTTAGTCAGCATTTCTTTTTAAACCTTTTTGGTTGTTCACCAGTCGTGTGTCTGAGCCCAGTGCCTAGAATTAACATCCCTTTTGCTCTCTCTCAAGGAGGTTTTGTGCAGGGTTGGTACATACGGTACCTCCCTCCCAGGCAAACTGCAAATGCTAGAGCCCAGAGAGCCTCATGTTCACATGGAGTGGGGGTGCCCAAGTAATTGAAAGGCACCTGGGGTGCCTTATAAAAGGAACTACCATTAAAATACCCTTGAAAGCATGGGGTACAAAGGCATGGATATGAGAAGTTACTTAGCTGTAGCACTTAAAAGGTATTTACAACCCTTCATGTCTCCTGCCTCCTTACCTTTCCTTTAAAAACAGTGCTGGGAGTTTTGCTGCCTCAAAGCATGTTATGTTATCCTCTCTCTAAGTGAGGTGGGAATGACACCCACATCCTGGTGAGAACGAGACCACATCCTATCAGCTCCTCACACTGGAGCAATAGCTCTGTTAGTCTCTATTAAACTCTGCAAAAGGAATGATGGAGTGAGTTCTTGTAGTCCTTTGCTCAGGTCACAAGATTGACCCTATAATTTCTTCAACTCTAAGTAACACAAAAACTAAGCAGAACTAAGCCTGGTGTGTCTAGAAGACAGCTTAGATTTGCAGAGCTAATTGTGCTTGACAATAATTCTTCTCAGTAAAGACATAAATTATGATCCTGTCTCTTAAATATCAGCAGGAAGGATGATCTGCTTCACCAAAATGAAGTCTTTGCTTGCTCATCCTCAGATCTCACTGGACAAGAGAGAGTCCTTCAGTAAGAGATCTGGTCACTGGTAAAATCTCTCATCCTGTCTATAACATGGAGTTCTGCTTCTTTTTTTTCTAAATCAGATGCACACCAAACAAGATCCTGACCAGCGTCTGCACTCCCCTGGGGAGAGGCAGAGCTAGCAGGAACCACAGTGAGCTTGTAATAGATACAGTGCTGGGATGGTGCTGAAGAATGGGGCTGGATGCCAGCCCCGTGTTGTTAACAGATGAGTACATGAAAAACATAGCTGATAGAAACATGCTGACAAAGACACAGATTTACTTCCCCGGATGCTCAGCTCACGAAAGGTTTTCTAATACAAGTGGCCAACCGTCTGCTCTCCCCACAACAACCTTTGCTCACACATCATTGAACACTGAGCTCCACGGAGGAGCTGCTCGAACACCCTCTGAGTCCTGGAAATATATGACTACAAATAAAGACAACCTAAGACAGGCTGTAGTTCAAATTACCTGGTGTCCAGGAAAATATTAAGCTACTAATCCTAGGAGGTCGGCAGAGCCCCCTGCTCAGGTACCCTAGCTCCAGGAAGGAGGAATGGTGCTGGGAACAGCACAAAGGGCTGCTGGTTTGTCTCAACTAGGCTGAGAGGAGCAGGGCTGGGGAAAAACCTTTCTGACTTAGTAGAAGACTTGCCAATTTGTCAAAATTCCTTCTATAGCTAGTTTTGATTTTGATTAGGAGTTAAGGGCAATAGCAGACCTTGTATTCTGTAGCTTTTGGCCAGTGCTTGTGCCGAGGTTTGGAATAGCAGCATTTGAGTACAGGGGAAGGAGGGGAGCCAGCAGAACTGTGTGTCAGCACTGGGTCTCACAGATCATTTACTGTTACTCAGACAAGTTGCAGAACTTCTGGGAAATGTGTTCTTTGTCAAAAGCTGTAGTCAAACCTGAAGAGTTATGTCTGGCACAAAGCATAAGGATCTGCATCAGTCCTGTTCACATTCAAGGGAGACTGTACAGTGCTGGCTCCTCCCAGCTCTGAGCATGACAGCAATGAGCTTGGCAGAGTGGGGGTCCTGTGGGAGGTAAGCAGGCGGTTAGCAAAAGCATCGACAGAAATAATTCATTCTTTCTGGTTGGTTGGCTCGGGGTTGGGATTTGGGGCAGGGGGAACTGCATGTTGCTTCTGAGTCAACTAAGAGAAGGAAACATAAGAGTGGGGCAAGAATCACTGAACCACAGCCTGGTTTGGGTTCGAAGGGACCTTAAAGCTCACCCAGTTCCAACCCCCTGCCATGGGCAGGGACACCTTCCACTAGAGCAGGTTGCTCCAAGCCACATCCAAGCAGGCCTTGAACACTGCCACAGATGGGGCAGCCACGGCTTTTCTGAGCAGCCTGTGCCAGTGAAGAAAAGGGTGAGAAAGAGGATGCAGCTGAGATCTGCTTGGTCCAGTCGTTGATCATGCTGGTGGAGATCGGACTGGTGCTGTACCTCAAGCCGGCTTTGTTTCTGCCTCTCACTGACAGGCATCAACTAGGGTCTTGATATGGCAAAAAGAGGGCTGAATGGTCACATTCAGAATCTATGGCCTTGTGCCATAAAGTTATTGCCTGACATTTTCACTTCTAAACACTCAGTGTTTCTAAATACTCCCAGCCAGCAAGCTCCATATCAAGTAATAGGGCTCCTTGTGCTGAAGGGGCAGAATTAAGTGATGCGGAGTGGCTCACTGATCCCTCAGTGGCCATACTGCTGACTGGGCAGCATGCTGGCATCCTTCAAAGCAGCCATAAAGGCATTACTTTTCAAGGGGGCAGAAAAGAGCGTGGAGAAAAACCATCCCAATTGTTCTTCCGTGAAATCTCTCTGGGAAGGCAGCCACAGCGACTGGAAGCAGCACTGCGGATGCCAGGATTGAAGTTTTGCTGTAGGAAGTACCTACAGATTAATCAATCATGCACATTACTTAATATGTGAGCGAGCAAATCCCCACTGACTAGTGTTGTTCCAAAGCCTGCTAGGACACTGTGAACTGGTTTATTGTCCTATATGCTTCTAGCAAATGTCTCTCCTCTTGCTTGCCTTGGCAAGCTGACAGCTGAGCTTCCATGGCAGCTTTTTCCATAGTCCTTTGGAAATGTTCATGCTGCTGCTCACCCGTTTGGGATATACCTTCTTGTCTGCTGTTGTGCTTTACTGCCTTGAGGGCATTTAAAGCTCCAACAACACTCTTGGGAGGTATACTGTTATGAGTCATGGCTGGACCCAGCTTGTGTGCCTCAGGAGACAAGAAGAAATGGGATTTGGATACTGCAGGGAGCTGTAGCCATTAAAAATGCAGAGGGTGTAGGAACTAATAGACATGAACAGTGCACCAAGACTGGGAAGTCTTTAAAGATTCAGGCAGGGTGGGCTGGCTACTCGTTAAGCAACCTGCGTATTATTGGGAACACAGGTTTTTCACCACTAAAAATGAGAATCTTCTCTTTCTAAATGGCTTGTATTTTTGCCTGTCTCTGAAATACAAAGGGAACTGCTGCAGGCAGGTTCCTCATTGCCACGCTGGAGCCGGTTCTCTCCAGGGCAAAGGAAGAAAAGAGATTTAAGAGGATCAAGGGGGCTGTGGAGGGGGGAGACAATGCTGGAATTTTAAAAAGTGATTCTGAGCAATTAAAAAGCCATTTCATTCACCAAGTGCCTAATGAAACACCCTGCTTTGAGTGGAACAGTGAGAGACAACTGAAGCAACCTGATTGTCTAATGCACCCATGAATGACTGCTCCCTGTTCCTCAGCTGCTAACAGCATACCCCATGTGTTTGCATGTTATGTTGTCATACTTGTTTTAGAATGGCATTAACGGACAGACGTTTGCTGGGGAAAATGCAGACCAGATCTTCTGCCGTCCTCCAGCAAGTCATTAATACTGAAGAAGCACCCAGTGTGCCTCAGCAATTACTGCTTAATTACAAAGTAAATGAAATACATGGAAACAGGGGGTGCATTCTGCGTAGCAGCTTGCTTTGGCTTCCGTTCAACACAGCACTTACATTCCTTCAGCCTCTCACTATAAAACGAACATATTCAAAAGTCAAAGCCAAAGATAATGTTGTCGTATATGCCTGCTGACAGCACTTCCCAGCGGTGGTGGAACAGCAGCTCTGAACAAAGCACACAACAGTTCCAGCACGGTGGGGCTGGATCTCAGCTTGGGGCTGATCCAAGCAAGCAGTCAGTTTGCCTAGGTCACTCCTGGTGGGAATACTTGTCCATCAATCCTGAAAACCTCCTGCAGCAGAGGCTACAGTTTCCTTCCTCCCTGCTCCAATCCCAGACAAGCTATTCTGGTGCTTTCCTTGCAGCCCTTCCAACCCAAGCCAGGTTTAGTAAATGCAATGACTCCTCTGTACACCTCTTCCAAATGAGCCCTCCTCCTTCTTGAGGCACAGTGCACCAGACTAGACCCAGTCCTCACTCCTCTAACCTGACAAGACCATTTTAAGCCATAAAGCTCATCCTCCGATGTGCTGAAGCACTTCTCCCAGCTCCACAACACTGACAGATGCAATTCCGTCTTTTCACGTATTTTTCACTGATGAAAATTCTGAAGGAAATCAACCCAGATCCCTGCAGAGTCCTGGCTCATAGAGTCCTCTGCTCTCACCACAAGTCCCTGGTAACTGTATTCTTTGGGAATGAGTTGGCTACTCATCCATTTTTGTGTAAGATCTGAAGTAGTTTTATCTAGACTGTTTTTCCAGGTCACTTTATGAAAGTCAAGCTATACTAAGTCAAACCCTTCCTAAATGGCACCAACTATTCCTCTCCTATATCTGCTGAGAATCCAAATGAAATCAGTTTAACATGCCTCATTTTTGTATAATCCATGCTGGATGTCACTCATCTCCTTTTTTATCTCCTAGGTGCTTGCAGATTGCTTGATTGATAGTTCAATTCTCCTCTAGCTTCTAGAAGTTGACTGGTCTATAATTCTTACTGCTCTTTTCTCCCTCTATATTTAGACACCATGATGTTTACATTTTTTCCTTGTCTTCTGGTACCTCACCTGCCCTCCAGGAGCTCTCAAGAAGTGTTTGCATTTTGGAGATGGTGCCAGCAGAGC